GTCATGCTGTCTAGGAAGCCAGCTCATGTAGTACTAGTAAGTAGCTCTGGGCTCCCAGAGCTTGCCTCTCCAAATCAGCTCTAGGTCCTTAAACATTTGATGTGTGGTTGAGGAATATTTGATTTGGCTTTGCCTTGGGGAGGGGAGCATTTTTCCCCAAGGTTCATTGGTTTGTTATAAGCTGATTCTGAGGAGAGAACCAAAGTTTGCATTAGCCACCTTCCTGTCAGCATAGCCTACAGTGAGCACGGTGCTGCCCGGGACTACGTACTTTGCACTGGGTTCCCTTCAGACTCTTTGTTTCTAGACAGCCTAGTTTCACGAGCTCTCCAGCCTGACCTCAAGAAACCAGGTGCTGTTTATCAACTGCTCAAACTGACCTGGCTCTCTCCTGTTTCCTTGTCACTATTTTAATGCTTATAATAAAATATTTAGAAAGCGAGTGTGGTGCTGCTTGCCCACTCCAGCATGAGAGAAGGAAGCAGCAATGGCACTTCAACATGATGGGAATACAGTGCTTGCTGGGAGCATGAATCCATCCAGCCTATATCTAAAGCAAACCTGCTCCATTTGCACCAGCCTTTGAGGTCTATGGTCCCTTTCCACAAAGACCAAGGAAGGAGACAACTTCTGCGGAAACCCCCAGGAGATTTGCTGTGTAGTCCTCTGAATAGTCTCCTCAGGAAAGGGGTGGGGGAAGGTTTGTCGTCCAGTGTGAGCCCCAGAAATCAGAAGTACCCTGACTTCCTCAGGGAAATCCTCACCCTGTTGGGGCATCTCTGGATGACTGGGTCAGTGTCCTCTTATGAGGTGCCACTGCGCCTGCCTTCCTTCCATATATGCCACTTTAGATACACCCATTCTCTGCCTCTTCTTCTGGGTTAGCTAAAAAGAGAATCTGGTCCTACATCTGAGACCCCCAACCTCAATGGATGGGGATGTCCAGCCCCACACCAGGCACTCTGTACCCACCTCCTTTATTCGCAGCAAGTGGGGGACCCCATACAGACCCTCCTGGGGCTCTTAATTATTTTTGTTATTTCTTTCAAAGGTGCAGCTTTAGTTCTATTAAACTACAGACCCTGCCATGCTCAAATACTAAAGTGCCTGGAAGGTGCCTGTATAGACCCAAGTACTGGTCCCAGTAAGCCTCTAGAACTGGTCATAGCACTGGTCCAAGTATAGACCCCAGAGCTAGTCATAGTAATTGTCCCAGTATTGACCCCAGTACTGGTCTTAGTAAGACCTCAGTAATGGTCCCAGTACTGATCCCAGTAAGATCCAGTATGGGTCCCAGTATAGACCCTACAACTGGTCCCAGTTATGGTCCCAGTATAGAGGTCAGTAGTTGTCCCACAAAAACCCCAGTACTGGTCCCTTTACTGGTCCCAGTAAGACCCGCAGAACTCGTCCTGTGACCAGCACTGAGTTCTATACTGGGAACAGTACTGGGACAAGCAGTGAGGTCTATACTGGGACCAGTACTGGGACAAGCAGTGAGGTCTATACTGGGAACAGTACTGGGACAAGCAGTGAGGTCTATACTGGGAATAGTACTGGGACAAGCAGTGAGGTCTATACTGGGAACAGTACTGGGACAAGTAGTGAGGTCTATTCTGGGAACAGTACTGGGACAAGTAGTGAGGTCTATACTGGGAACAGTACTGGGACAAGTAGTGAGGTCTATTCTGGGAACAGTACTGGGACAAGTAGTGAGGTCTATACTGGGAACAGTACTGGGACAAGCAGTGAGGTCTATACTGGGACCAGTACTGGGACAAGTAGTGAGGTCTATACTGGGAACAGTACTGGGACAAGTAGTGAGGTCTATACTGGGACCAGTACTGGGACAAGTAGTGAGGTCTATACTGGGACCAGTACTGGGGTCTTACTGCAAACAGTACTACAACTAGTACTACCAACTATACTGGGATCAGTACTGGGTCTATATTGGGACCAGTACTGAGACCAGAACTGGAGTGTATACTGGGACCAGTATTGGGATCTTACTGGGACTAGTACTGGGGTCTGACAGGGACCAGTACCGGTACCACTATTGGGGTGTATACTGGGACCAGTGCTGGAACCAGTACTGGGATCTTACTAGGACCAGTACTCAGAACAGTACAGGGCTTTATACTGGGACCAGTACCAGTATTGGGACAAGTAATTGGGGGTATTGCTGGGATCAGTACTGGGATCTTTCTGGTACCAGCACTATGGCCAGTACTGGAGTCTATACTGGGCGCAGTACTTGAGTTTTATTTGAACCAGTACTGAGACCATTATGGCTCATTACTGGGGGGTACACTGGGACGAGCCCTGAGACCAGTCCTAGGGTGTATACTGGGACCAGTACTAGGATCTTACTGGGACCAGTACTATGACCAGTACTGGGGTCTCTTTATTGGGACTGGAGTTTAGGACCAGTACTTGGACCCATACTGGAGTTTACACTGGAACCAGAACTGGGGTCTTTCTGGGACCATTACTGGTTCCAGTTTTTGGGTCTCACTGGGTCCGCTATTGGCACCAGTGCTGGGATGTACAGTGTTACCAGTTATGGGGTCTTACTGGGACCAGAATCGGGACCAGTACTGGGGTCTCTAATCAGACCAGTACTGGGACCAGTACCGAAGTCTTTCTGAGACCAGTACTGGGGTCTATAATCGGATCAGTACTGGGACTTGTAATGTAATCTGTACTGGAACCAGTACTTTGGTCTTACTGGGACCAATATTGGAGTGTACATTGGGACCAGTACTTTGGTCTATACTGGGACCAGTACCGAGACCAGTCCTGGGGTCTTACTGGGACCAGTACTAGGGTCTTTCTGGGACCTGGGGTGTACACTGGTACCAGTACTGGGGTCTTTCTGGGACCAGTAGTATGAAAGGTAGTGAGATCTACACTCAGACCAGTACTGAGATGAGTACTGTGCTGTATACTGGGACCAGTACTGGGACCACTCTTAGGGTCTATACTGGGACCTGTACTGGAACTAGTACTGGAGTATTACTGGGACCAGTACTGGGGTCTATACTGGGACCAGTTCTGAGATCAGTATTGGGGTCTTGGACTAGTACTGGATTTGTTACTGGGACTAGTACTGAGACCTGTACTGGGGTCTTACTGGGACCAGTACTGGAGTCTCAGTGCGACTAATATTGGGATAAGCTCTATAAGTAGGGGCATTGCCAGCACCTCGAGGGATGTGATCATTCCCCTCTATTCGGCATTAGTGAGGCCTCATCTGGAGTACTGTGTCCAGTTTTAGGCCCCACACTATAAGAAGGATGTGGAAAAATTGGAAAGAGTCCAGCGGAGGGCAACAAAAATGAGTAGGGAGCTGGAGCACATGACTTATGAGGAGAGGCTGAGGAAACTGGGATTATTTAGTCTGCAGAAGAAAAGAATGAGGGGGGATTTGATAGCTGCTTTCAACTACCTGAAAGGGAGTTCCACTGTTCTCAGTGGTACCAGATGATAGAACAAGGAGTAATGGTCTCAAGTTGCTGTGGGGGAGGTTTAGGTTGGATATTAGGAAAAACTTTTTCACTAGGAGGCTGGTGAAGCACTGGAATGCCTTACCTAGGGAGGTGGTGAAATCTCCTTCCTTTGAGGTTTTTAAGGTCAGGCTTGACAAAGCCCTGGCTGGGATGATTTAGTTGGGGATTAGGTCCTGCTTTGAGCAGGGGGTTGGACTAGATGACCTCCCTTCCAACCCTGATATTCTATGATTCTATAAGCACTGCGGTGTATACTGGGACCAGCACTTGTGTCTTTCTGTGACCACTACTGGGGTCTTTCTGGGACCAGTAGTATGACAAGTATTGGGTTCTATACTGGGATGAGTATGAGTACTGGACTGTATCCTGGTACCAGTACTGGGGTCTATACTGGGACCTGTACTGGGTCCTTACTGGGACCAGGACTGGAACCAGTACTGGGGTATTATTAGGACCAGGACTGGCACCAGTAGTGGCATATATACTGGAATAAATAGTTGGGTTGTACTAGGGACAGCACCGGGACCAGTACTGAGGTCTATATTTGGACCCGTATTTGAGTCTATACTGGGACCAGTACTACCACCAGTATTGGTGTCTGTGCTGGGACCAGTACTAGGCTCTATAATGAGACTCGTACTGGGGAAAGTACTGGGTCTATTATGGGACCAGTATTATGGTCTTTCTGGGACCAGTACTGAGATCAGTACTGGAATCTGTACTTGGGACCACTGCTGGGATCTATATGGGAACTAGTAATGGAGTCTTACTAGGACCAGTACTGGGATATATTCTGGGACCAGTACTATGGTGTTATTGGGACCAGTACTGATCTCTTACTACCAGAACTGGGAACAGTAATGGGGTCTATAAAGGGACCAGTACTATGGCCTCACTGGGACGAGTATTAGGATGAGTTCTGGGGTGTCTACTTGGGACCAGTACTGGGTCTGTATTGGGGTCAGTCGTGGGGCTTGTGTTCAGATCTTACTGGGAGCAGTACTGGGGTCTATACTGGTTCCAGTAATGGGGCAAGTACTGGGGTCTTACTAGGACCAGTGCTGGGACCAGTGCTGGGGTGTATACTGGAACCAGTAGTGGGGACTTGCTGGGACCAGTACTGGAACCATTATTGGGGTTTCTTTTTGGACCAGTACTGGGTCTGTACTGCCACCAATGGTGGGATCTTACCGGGACCGGTCCTGGGACCGCCGCCAGCCAGCACCGGAAAGGTTAAACACAGCCTCCGGGCCCAGCTAGCTCCGCCCCCTTTCGCCCGCAGCCAATGGCAGGCCTGGAGGGAGGGGACCGGGGGGAGCCTCGCTCACTTCCGCAGGCGCGTGATGGGAGGTGCCTGCTCCGGTGCGCGCGCGGCCGCCGCCGCTTTCGCCTCCCTGCGCTGGGGGTCCAGCTCCGCCCGGCCGCGGAGGCGCGCGATTGGCCGAGCCCGGGCCGCTGTGGGGCCCCGCCCAGACGCGGTAGGAAGTAGCCCGGGGCACTGGGTTAGTCTCTCTGCCAAGCGGGTTGCCCTGGTCCGCGGGGGCGGGTCTCCGCCGGCCCCCCCTCGCCCCGGCCTTACAGACTGAGGCCCGGCAGGGGGCCAGAGGCTCAGGCTGCCGCGCCCGCCAGGCCGCCGTAACAAGGGCCCCGTGCGGGGGACGCCGGTTCCAGTATAGACTCCAGTGCTGGTCCCAGTGGTGCTGGTGTCGGTGCTGGGCCCGGTGCTGCCGGCTTCCTGGGAAGTCACTTAGAACGGCCCGGTAGTGCTGGCCATGGAGGAAAGGTACACTGCTGGTCCATGGCTTCAGTGGGAGGAGGAAAAAAAGCGAGGAGTCCTTGTGGCACTTTAGAGACGAACCCATTTATTTGGGCCTAAGCTTTCGTGGGCTAGAACCCACTTCATCGCTTTTATTGGCCTCTAAGGTGCCACAAGGACTCCTCGGGTTTTTTTGCTGGTACAGACTAACACGGCTACCCCTCTGAAACCTGTCACAGCGAGAAGTGTATTTTATGCCCCCAAAAGAAAGGGGAGTAGCAAAAGTGTGTAGGGAGCTCTAAATTAAATTTGACCACCCTCTACTTTAATTTATGCATTCTTACAGTGCTGTCCAGTCTCCTAGCATGTAAATTACACCACTTCACACTCCCTCAGACTCAGATTACTGTCTGTGAACCTAGCTATCTAATACTTAGCCCTGGTCTACACTACCAAATTACTTCGGTCAGTCAGGGGTGTGGATTATTCACAACTCTGAGTGACGTAGTTATACTGATCTAAGCACCCGTGTAGTCAGCGTTATGTTGGTGTGAGAGATTCTCCTACCGATGTAGCTACTGCCTCTCGTGTAGGTGGATTAACTAAATTGACGGGAGACGCGCTCTCTCTCATCATTTTAGAGCAATGGCTCTCAACCTTTCCAGACTAGTGTACCTCTTTCAGGAGTTCGATTTGTTTTGCATACCCCCAAGTTTAACGTCACTTAAAAACTACTTGCTTATGAAATCAGACATAAAAATACAAAAGTGTCACAGCACACTATTACTGAACAATTGCTGACTCTCATTTTTTACCATGTAATCATAAAATAAATCAATTGGAATCTAAATATTGCACTTACAATTCAGTGTATAGCATAGAATCATAGAATATCAGGGTTGGAAGGGACCTCAGGAGGTCATCTAGTCCAACCCCCTGCTCAAAGCAGGACCTAATCCCCAACTAAATCATCCCAGCCAGGGCTTTGTCAAGCCTGACCTTAAAAACCTCTAAGGAAGGAGATTCCACCACCTCCCTAGGTAAGGCATTCCAGTGCTTCACCAGCCTCCTAATGAAAAAGTTTTTCCTAATATCCAACCTAAACCTCCCCCACAGCAACTTGAGACTGTTACTCCTTGTTCTATCATCTGGTACCACTGAGAACAGTCGAGATCCATCCTCTTTGGAACCCCCTTTCAGGTAGTTGAAAGCAGCTATCAAATCCACCCTCATTCTTCTCTTCTGCAGACTAAATAATCCCAGTTCCCTCAGCCTCTCCTCATAAATCATGTGCTCCAGCCCCCTAATCATTTTTGTTGCCCTCCGCTGGACTCTTTCCAATTTTTTCCACATCCTTCTTATAGTGTGGGGCCCAAAACTGGACACAGTACTCCAGATGAGGCCTCACCAATGTCGAATAGAGGGGAACGATCACGTCCCTCGATCTGCTGGCAATTCCCCTACTTATACAGCCCAAAATGCCGTTAGCCTTCTTGGCAACAAGGGCACACTGTTGACTCATATCCAGCTTCTCATCCACTGTCACCCCTAGGTCCTTTTCTGCAGAACTGCTGCCTAGCCACTCGGTCCCTAGTCTGTAGCAATGCGTGGGATTCTTCCGTCCTAAGTGCAGGACTCTGCACTTGTCCTTGTTGAACTCATCAGATTTCTTTTGGCCCAATCCTCCAATTTGTCTAGGTCCCTCTGTATCCTAACGCTACCCTCTAGTGCATCTACCACTCTTCCCAGTTTAGTGTCATCTGCAAACTTGCTGAGGGTGCAGTCCACACCATCCTCCGGATCATTAATAAAGATATTGAACAAAACCAGCCCCAGGACTGACCCTTGGGGCACTCTGCTTGATACCGGCTGCCAAGTAGACATAGAGCCATTGATCACTACCCGTTGAGCCCGACAATCTAGCCAGCTTTCTACCCACCTTATAGTCCATTCATCCAGCCCATACTTCCTTAACTTGCTGACAAGAATACTGTGGGAGACCGTGTCAAAAGCTTTGCTAAAGTCAAGAAACAATACATCCACTGCTTTCCCTTCATCCACAGAACCAGTAATCTCATCATAAAAGGCGATTAGATTAGTCAGGCATGACCTTCCCTTGGTGAATCCATGCTGGCTGTTCCTGATCACTTTCCTCTCATGCAAGTGCATCAGGATTGATTCTTTGAGGACCTGCTCCATGATTTAGATTATGCTCCTCGCCCTGATACCTGACTGCTGGACCCATTCACCTGAATCTGGCTCTTTGCTTGCACATCACAGAATATCAGGATTGGAATGGACCTCAGGAGGTCATCTAGTCCAACCCCCTGCTCAAAGCAGGACCAATCCCCGATTTTTGCCCCACATCCCTAAATGGCCCCCTCAGGGATTGAACTCACAACCCTGGTTTTAGCAGGCCAATGCTCAAACCACTAAGATCTCCCTCCCCCTAAAGTTTGGTTTGATTCTGTAAGCAGTGTCAGGATGAGCTCCACCCTGACATCTGGTGGTGAGGTGTGGCAAGTTGTGGAAAAGAACTTCAGGGGCTGATCTCATTTGCATAGGCACACCCACCACGCCTAGAATGAGACCATAGCTGCCCAAATGGTCACTTTGGCTGCTGTGGGATCCCCAGTGTCTGTTATTGGGGCAGGAAGAATAAATTGTTATTACCCTGATTATGGGAACTGTACGTGGCCTTTTGTTATGATGGAGGGATTCACCATCAACTAAGTAGCACTCGCTAGGCAAGGGTCATGGGTTCCAAAACTCTGTGAATTGAGAGAGGATGGAGACAAATATTAATACTTGGTGGCATGGGCCCCTTGGTGAGGGCCTTACATGCTAATTGCACTTCCTCCTCTCTCCACTGTGGAATATCAGAGCTACTTTTGATTTCATTAGAAGTCTAGTTATAGGCTGCTGAGCTCACTTTGGGCTAACAGTGCACCAGCACTAGGGCTCCCCTACTACAAGCTGAATTCACCAAAGAGCTGAACTGACTAAGAGCTGAAATCACTAAGCGTTGTGTCAGGTAATGGGGGAGCCTGAAGATATATTGTGGAGCAGTTTGCGGGATGGCTGGAGTGCCTTGTGGACAGGCTGGTGAAGCAGTTCAACGCGGAGCAGTTTGTGGACGGCAGGAGCTGGTTGTGGGCCGCGGAGCTGAGCGAAGGAGTTCGTGGGGCGGCTGGCGGAGCGAAGCGAAGCTGTGGGGCGGTCAGCTTCAGATCATGTAAGGTGCCTCTTACCCCCGTCGCATCTCCACCCAGGTTGGGAGGTAAAGCTCCGCAAATAAACTTTCGAACTCTGGGGCTGCCCTGACCAGGGACAGAGACTTTTGGGTCATTGGACTTTTGGGACTTTGGGTGATTTGGGGTTGCTGGACTCAAGAACCAAAGGGAAAAGGGCATGCCCCAGTTTGCTTGGGGTGGGGTTTTTCTTTGCTCATGGATTGTGTTATGAATCCTGTTGGTGGTGTTTCCCCAACATAATGCCACATTGTTTCTCTCTGTTATTAAAAGGCTTTTTGCTACATTCAGACTATGTGCTTGCGAGAGGGGAAGTATTGCCTCTTGGAGGCGCCCAGCGGGGGTGGTATATATTTGTCCCAGGTCACTGTGTGGGGGCTCGAGCCAGTTTGCATTGTGTTATTGGAATGGATCCCCTAGAGATTGAACCCGGCCCTTGTTGCTGCCAACTCTGATGGGTAGAAGGGTTACAATTCCAATACCTAAGTTATCAGAAATTGTCTTTTGCCGGTCATTTATCATCGCCAAGTCCCTTCCCTAGAAGATGGAAGTTGGGAGCTGAGGTTTTTGGTGTCTTGTGTTGAGAGAGTTAATTGTGGAACTTGAAGCTGGTGGGCAGCTGCAGATTGAGGAGCTTTATTAAGAGCGAGCGCTAGATTTTATAATGTTAACTTATGCAAATTAATATGCAGATTGGAGACATCATTCATTAATGGAAGCTCAGGAAGTTTTCATTTAAAGGGGATTAATGTAAACCCCTCGCAATCCTCCTGCAATCCTCACTCAGAACAGGCAGTTCTCAGGATTGTTTTCCTCCAAAGTTTAATGTAGACTCTCGGACAACTTTCTGAAAGGATGCATGCCAAACCAAACATTCTGCTAGGCCAGGGGAGGGCAAACTATGGCCTGTGGGCTGGATCCAGCCCATCAGGGCTTTCTGTCTGGCCCATGGGATTGCCAGCCCCATGGTGCAGCGGGGCTAAGGCAGGTTCCTTGCCTGCCCTGGCCCTGCGCCGCTCCTGGAAGCAGCTGGTACCATGTCCCTGCGGCCTCTGGAGGGTCGGGGGGGCAGAAGGCAGGGAGCTTGCCTTAGCCCCTTTACTCATCGCTGCTACCCCAGAGCCGCTTGAGGTAAGCGGTGCCGGGCTGGAGCCTGAACCACTCCTGCACGCTGCACCCCAACCCCCTGCCCTGAGCCCTCAAAACCCCTTCTGCTCCCATCCTGCACTCCAGCCCCCTGCCCTGAGCCCCTTCTCATACTCTGCACCCCTTCCTGGACCTCAACTCTTTGCCCTGAGTCGCCGCCCACACCCCACACTCTCTCCCGCACCCCAATCCCCTGCCCTGCGTACAATTTCCCCACCCAGATGTGGCCTTCGGGCCAAAAAGTTTGCCCTCCTCTGTGCTAGGCAGTGGGGACTGAGGAGAGTGCAAGGTCTGGGCCATGCAGAATGTGGCTCGATCATTTCCACTGAGGCTATAATGGCTCTAATGTAGAATAAAGAACCAAAAAGGGGACAAGAAAAATTAATATTGGAGCGCTCTTAAAATGATGTGAGAATAACATCTTTAATATAAATCACCATCTTCTCCAGCATCCTCTCCATCAGCCCAGATGCATGAGTTTATTTCCCCAACCAGCAGGTGGAGAGAAGAAAAACCAGATGTGCGATGGCGTAACTTCCCTTATGCTAGGCATTGGCTAGCTCAAGCAGCTAAGTCATTTCCAGACCCAAAGTTCCTGATGGTGCCCTGAATGGCAGCATTTAAGCTCCCTTTTTTTGCTGGCCTAACTCTGAAATAGATGTGCTGTTGAGTGGAGTTCAGACGTCGAGTAAAGAATCATACATTTCTATGAAGAGTGTTAAGATGTGACTCTGTGCATGTTTTAATCTTGTAACTGAAAACGGCTCATTGACAAAGAGGAAGGATGGTCCAGTGGTTCGAGTGTTAGCCTAGATCTTAGGTTGGATTCCATGAGGAGGCACAGAGGATAAAGAATGACGTGTTGAAGGACAATTGGAAAGGATGCTGCTTTCATGGAGACTATGTACGACAGACTCAGACGGTAGTGGGGAAAATGGGTTGTCACAGGTGCCACTAGGAACAGGAGAGTCTAAGGCTAAATGAGACTGGAGAGGCTTGGGTTCACAACTCTGCCACTAACTTGAACAATCATTGGGCCGGAGAGAGTGAGTGTGGGAATGACCCTGTAGCCCAGTGGTCAGGGCAACCTTGGGTCGAGTCCCCCTTTTCCCACCAAGTGAGCTCCTTTAGGCCCTCTTCCCTCCACCCTTGTTATTTCACTTTGAAATGCTGTCGCCCTCAGCACTGAGCAAATCCTTGTTATTTCTCTCAAGCCCTTGTTCCGTTGTGGGGTTCGATCAGCATGCACAGACAGGCTGCTTCGACTATCAAAGAGCCTGTGGGTTTGGAGGCTCTTAATGGGGGCTCTGGGTTTGAGCTCCTCAGTGGCAGAAAGAGGCCCTGCACCGATCTGAGCTCAGAGGTGCTTTAGGAGGGCCTCACTCTCTTAATTATTAAACCCTTGCTACCTTGTGGGAGTGTTTTGATAAAGAGACCTCTGGACTCTTGAGCTCTCCTGGAAGAGCATTCACATGTGCATGCTGTGGAGGAAGACGCAACTGGAAGGTAATTTTAACCCCTCATCCCCTGTGACAGGGTGTACAAGTAATTCGGTGCCTCCAGCAGGGTACCTCAGCCTTGCCACCTCTCGTCCCAGTGATGGCCCAGCTCTGAATCAGACAGTGGTGTGGTTTTCCTGGGTGAATTCCCTGCAGGGAGAGGCTCCCTGTGTCGAGACAGCCAAGTGTCACTAAGCCTGGCTGGGCTCAGATCCTCAAAAGGCTGAGCTACTCTCACGAGAGGCAGAGACAAGAGTTTTGCCAGCTGGAACCCAGAACAGGGCCTGCTTGAGACAGAAGAATTGCCATGTGTCCATTGTTTGGGGTTTACTAATTGCTAAACTGCATGAAGGGAATTTGGCCAGAGATGTGGCTGGGTTTTCTGGTTTTGTTTATCTGGGTCGCCTATGAATTTTCCCTCCAGCTGCTCACGCCCCACTCTTTATTGTGTTGGGGAATAAATTGTCCTTTTTTTTGTTCCCCCTAAATAGAGACCATCTCACAAAATAAGGTGGCCATTTCCTGCGTGGGATCTGCTCCTGAGTGTAGTCAGGCTGATGCTCTCTGGAAGAACTCTGCCTGTTACTTTCCCTGTTTAGTGGGCCATTGTTATTTCTGGGCTCTTGTTTGAACACCACGTTACTTCCGTGGCAAGCTGCGGTGTGACTCTACAGCACACGAGTGTGCTGTGCAGCAACTTGTCATGTGACTGCTGCCACAGTCCAGTGAAAGTCTCAGAGTGCTCCCACCCAGCAGAGCTGGGCTTATTTCCCAGCTTTGCCACAGACTCCGTTTGTGACCCTGGGCAAGTCACTTAGCTACTCCATGCCTCAGTTTCCCATGTGTAAAATGGAGATAATAGCACTTCCTTGCCTCACGGGGATGTTATGAGATTACATTAATTAATGACTGTGAGGTGCATAGCTGCTGTGAAGATGGGGGGTGGGGGGTGGCATATAAATATATAGATAGGTTATGCGTGAAACAGGGTCCTCTCTAACTTCCTCAGTGTACTGACGTTAGAGGGGCCCTCTGGTGTTTGTTAGACACACGCAGCTGCAGAGAGTTGATATGGCTGCTCGGAGCTGTTCTTCGAGCCCCGATGACACCTGCGCTAGCAGACCGTGGAGCATGTTCATTCAGCAGACCTTGATGTTTTCAGAGAAAGACCACAGGCTTGGTTTGGTGGTGGAGGCACTCGGCCAGGTTTATTGTCAACAAAGCACAGTACTTGTGCCCTGTCTAATGTGTCACAGGGACACTGACTCATGTATGCCTGTGACAAAGTAAAGACTCAGTCAGGACACCAGGATTCTGTCCCCTCGGCCAACACAAAGCTGCCCCTCCTATAACTTCTCCTTTTATACCTCGATCCAAACAAGCATCGCTCCAGATGATGTTAGTTACCACCCTTACACCTTGTACCTGCTAATGCGAACAAAACCTCCTCCTCTGTTATCAGGTCATCCCCACCTTATCTTATGGGGGTTTCGGTGTGTGCCTGCAAAGTCTCTTAGGAATTGGTTTACATAGGTACTTGAGAATTCTGGGTGTTCTTGTACCATCCTCTCTGATCAGGAATGTGTTTACTTGGTTAGCCAATACCTGGTGTGTTACTATTCTGCCAAGGCCAAGCCTGCTTTGGTTTACAGCCTTTGGTTCACACTGCTAGTTATGCCTTGGGCTCCAGCAAGGCCTACAAAAGCCAGTTTAAGTAGATCAGTCTGTTTAGTTTATCAGAGGTATCAAAGTACCTTTCCAGGGAGAAAATACCAGGTACTAAAAGCTCTTTAATCTAGCAGAGAAAGGCACAAGAACAGAAGAACCCATGGTAGGAAGCTGAAGCCAGAAAAATTCATATTAAAAATTAGGCACACATTTGTAACAGTGAGTTAACAAGCTACCAAGGGAAGTGGTGGGATTCTCCATCTCCTGATGTCTTCAAATCAAGACTGGCTGTCTGGAAGATCTTCTCTAGTCAAGCATACAAGTTATTGGGCTTAATACCCCTGTGCTGATGAGATGGAGTCTCCTTCCCAACTTGACTGTTACTGAATGTGACCCAAATGTTTATAGTAGACCAAAGCCTACCGTCTTTACACTGAACCGTCCGGGAGTTTTGCCTGGAGGAGGAGCACAGGATTTGGCTGTGTAAGCATAGAAGCCTGTCTGGTGTCTGAACATGATTTTAAAGAATGATGTGCCATTAATAAAGCCAAGAAATTGGAGCATTTTTCTGTCTTCAGTTGATTTGCTTTTTATTGTGAAAACCCCCATGACTGGCATCTTCTGACATAACCATCATCAAGGAGTTCAAACAGCCACAAAGATGCTGAGCCTGTTATTTTACCATAGGCTCCAGCAGAAACTATGGGAGGGAAATGAGTAACTAACAGTGAATGATCTTAGATGAGCTTTGGGATACCACAGTGATGAGGGGCTTCACCCTAGCTAAAAGCTGGGCTGGAGGCTATGGTCTATTTGAATCTTCCCCCTGAAGGGTAGAGAACAGCCTCTGTTGTTGGGAAGTCATTAAGAAATGAGCGAGTCAAAGTAATGGGCAGTCTGTGAAATCTACAATGAACCTAAAGTTAGCCAGTAGATGTTCAGCCCTCGCAGGGGTTTGATGGGGTTGTAAGAAACATCAAGGGGATGAGGGGAGCTGCCATCTGGTTGTCTGACTGTGAACCTCCCAAATGGCAGAAGTCTGAAAATAAAGGAAATATAACTGCTATCGTGCTGTCTCAGACTACAGGGGAAGGGTGTGCACTGCAGATGTGGGTAGCATAATGGATTTACCTGTGCTGGGAGGCCAGATTTCCATACTATGGGCCAAATCCAGAGCTTCTTTCTTAGCTCCTACTCCAGGCAAACACTCATTGGCTTCTGTGGGAGTTTTGCGTGAGCAAGGCTGAGTCCTGTACTGGGTTCACAGCTTGCTAGCTCGCCACTTTCCAATCAAAAGCCCACCTCTTGCTGGCTGAGTAGTTAACCATTCCTTCCCCTTGTTACAGGTTGGATGTGGCTGGCTGACCAACTGCTAAGAGGCAGCGTGGGCCAGACATGACCTCAGCTCTCAAGGCCCTGCCCAACATCCGTAGAGCCTGCATGATCCCAGCCTGTCAGGGCCAAGCATCTTACCCGCGCAGTATATCCCTCTGGGAGCACGGGCTGCACCTCTTCCGCAGCGCCGTGGGTGTTGTCCTGCCAGCCCCCATGCTGAGAAGGGCCATGGCGCTCAAAACAGACGGATGCCCCAGGCTGGTCGTGAGGGACAGGGCTTTCCCTGTGAGGAGGAACCTGTATCTGGTGGGCTTTGGGAAAGCTGTGCTGGGAATGGCGGCTGCGGCAGAGAAGATCCTCGGGGACCACCTAATTCAGGGGGTTGTCAGTGTCCCCCACGGCATCCGGGCATGTCTGCAGCAGGCGGGAATGGAGTAAGACTGCTAGTGCCCGGATAGTCCGGTGGGAGGGTGTAGAGAAGGGTTGGGGACAGGCAAGCACAAAGACCTAGGCTCCTGCAGAAATGTCTGCCTGCCATATATTTTCCCCTTGGGGTCACTGCTGAATCCCTCTTGGATCCTCTCCACCTGTCCCAACTTTAACCCTTGACCATGGGATCAAGACTCATAGCTCAGCCTTGACTGGTCTCCATCCCACTTCGTGGGCCATCGGATCTGTCCTTGGGGTTGTGTATGCTGCCCCCATAGTGTACCTGGCCCCATGGGGGAGAGACCATGATCAGCAAAGGAACCTTGTCCCCCAAATCCCTGTTGTGGGAGTGGGGCTGCCAGGTGGGCTGTGGATAGGTGTAAGTTTCAGTGGCCTGATCACCTTTCTAACCCATGCAGGGAGATGCTGCTGAAGCCTCACAGCAGGATCCAGGTCATAGAAGGAGCTAAGCACAACCTCCCTGACAAAGAGGCTTTGAGGGCAGCCAGCATGATTCGGGAGCTAGCTGAAGGGCTGACAGCTGATGACCTCCTCCTTGTGCTGATCTCAGGTAACGTCTGGAATCCCAGGAGCGGGGAGTGAGTTCTTGTGGAAATGCCGTCAGTTGTTGCCCTCCCTTCTCCTGCCCCATCTTTCCTCCCGTTATCTCTTCTCTAGCCTGGCTTCTGCCTTTCCTCGTGCATGCAGGAGACAGATCCGGAATCATGCCTGGCAAACTAGGTCAAGTTGCCTGTTGCAAAAGAAGATGAGGAGAGGCGTAAAGTGGGTCAGAGCTGTTCCTAATGTGACTCCCACACCGGTGGCAGCTCACTGCATGCGTTCACATTTCAGTACCTGGTCTTCTGGCAGCAGCTGTGAGTTGGCAGCAGCTTGGGCCCCGGGCAGACACACTTCTCTCCCAGTCAGACCTCTCAGAGGAACTTGTCACAAGAATCCACTATTGATTCCTTGGTCTAGAATCTCCCTCCTCCACCGGCTGTTGCTTTGTGCCCTCCCACGTAAGAGGTGGCTGCATTCCAGCAGGGCTGTGTGTGAAGAGTCGGATGCGCTCTGGGATGGGAGATGCTATATTATTCATTAGAGTGTTGGCAGACCAAGTATTTGGGCCAGCCAGTTGTGTTGCTGTTTCTCTCCCTCCTCCCACAGGCCTTGCCCTGTGGTTCGCTGCTGTCCTGCCAGCAATATCAATCCACAGGACTTGCTGTTTGAAGCAGCAAGGCACCATTTTGCCATGTGGTGGTGCCAGGCAATCAGAAAGCGCTGCTCTGCAAATATAAGCCCATCCCAAGGCAAAGCACTGAGGAGAGGCATCCTGAGCTGTATGGAGGTCTGGGTCCTGGGGCCCGAGTCTGTTCTGAGTTACATCGGTTTGACACCATGAAGTCAGTGTAACCAGTGTCTTGTATTTCCATGTTTGTATTTGTAAAGACAGACTCTCCTGGGTCATCTGACCACACAGCCATGTAGATGCTTTCTTCCCTCAGAATGGGAGGTACCCCGTGTTTAAATCTGGGCACGTAGGCTAGGGCAGTGGTTCTCAACCAGGGGTACGTGTATCCCGGGGAATACACAGGTCTTCCCAGGGGTACATCAACTCATCTAGATACTTGTTTAGTTTTACAACAGGCTATGTTAAAAGCACTAGCAATGTCAGTACAAACTAAAATTTCATGCAGACAATGTTTATACTACTCTATATACTATACACTGAAATGTAAGTACAGTATTTATATTTTTATTTTATAGTTATATGGTAAAAATGAGAGTTGCAATTTTTCAGTAATATTGTGCTGTGACACTTGCATTTTTATGTCTGATTTTGTAAGCAAGTAGTTTTAAGTGAGGTAAAACTTGGGGGTACACAAGACAAATCAGACTCCTGAAAGGGGTACAGTAGTCTGGAAAGGTTGAGCCACTGGGCTATGGCAGCAGAGCTCAGAACAGGAGGTCCAGGTGTTTGGGCATCAGTGCGTGGGTTGTCATGGGGGACTAACTTAGGTACCCAAGTTGGAAAAATGAGGCCCTATCTGAGACTTGGAGTCACTGAGGGGCTGATCCTGCAAGGGGCCAAATAGCACGGGTGAGGTGCTCTGCATTCTCACACCCCCCCCCCCCCAAATCAAAAGGAGTCACTCAGTGCCAAGTAAGAGGTGCTCCGCACCTTGTAGGATCAGCCCCTAAGCACATACATTTGAAACTCGCAGGCTTCTCCAGGAGCGATTGCCCCTTTAGTGCCTTATTCCCCCATTCCTAGATAGCGGGGCACACAATGAGGGAATGTGCTCTGCTTTGAGTGCATAAGCAATGCGGCAGTGCACTTGTGGGGTTTATTTAATTGGGTGGATATCCAGCTATATACATGCCCCTGTGAGTAGGTGTCTCCAGTCTTGCACTTGGAGCTGCTCTTTAGGGATTTTGTGGGGTTCTTGATTGTGCTGCTCAGCTGAGTAAGGTCTCGATCGAGATGCTCAGCTGGCTGCAGTTTATTCTGCCATGGTTCAGAGAGAATTTTGCAGGATTATCCAGACACGGATATAATTGGATTTGAATCATGTCTGGTGGGGATTCCCTTGAGTTTCCTCTTGTCCTCTGGCTACTGATATTTTCAAGAGACTCCTAGGCCCCTAAGTCAGCCATCCCAAGATTTGCTGTCGGCAGCAGTTCCCAAAGCATGCATACCTCCACGCAGGCCCCTCTGGCTGCTTCTGCATCTCAGTCAGATCCCTACTGATTGCCTGAAACTCAGGCAGTTTCATTTGTTTTTCTTGTTCGTCATATTTTATTGATGGTGCTTTTTCTCAAACCTCAGAGCAGGCTTTGCCCTTCTATGGTAGTTTTCTGATACACTTCTATACACACTCACCCTCTATTTTCCCCCTTTAGCTCTCTTTCCCCCTTCTTTTTCACTGCATTTCAAGGGCCCAATCATGCCGTCAGCCATGCTCTGCCACTCCCATTAATCAGATCACTAATGCACCCATCACTATAGTATCCAGCCTGATTTTTGTTTCCTCAGTGACTCTCCATCCTTCTCTCTCTCTCAATAAGCTTTTTGCTGTAGTGCAGTTCTATATTTAGGTTTAGACATTGCTATATTTTTTTAAAAACCTCTCATTATGAATGAGGTCAGTGAAACACTGAAGCCAGAAGTGTCTCTCTTTCCCTGCAGCTAAACACTGAGTGAGCAATGGAGTCCGCAGTCCCCTCTCTCTCAGACAAGCGGTCACTGAAGTCAGATTTGAGGCACATTCGCAGGGAAGTGCAGTGAGAACAATAGCACCTGGGCCTGATTCTGTCTCGCCTTGCACCCTGCATTCTCATTTATGCCAGGCAAAGTAGGTATAAAATGCAGGCACCATTGTGAATGAGCTCACTGAGCACAGGTGAAACTGACTGCCATAGAGATCCAGCCTGCTCTGTGGAGAAAGAGAAGACATCCGTCTCCAGGGCTGTTAGTCTGGCATCTTTCACCAGCACTAAATTCCCTTATGACAAAATGCTGAGGGAAGAGAAGAAGGAAAACTCCAGCTGTAGGATGCCCTCGCTTAGCCCCTTGTCTCGGGGAGGCCAGCCTTTGAGTGCTGGGGGGGGGGTTCCTCCCACCCTGCTACACACGTGCATTCACTCACTGCAGTTTCTCCTGCATTATAGGAGGCGGATCGGCTCTACTGCCTGCTCCTACTCCTCCGATCCTCTTGGAAGAGAAAGAGAAGGTCACCAAGCTTCTGGCTTCCAGAGGAGCTACCATACAGGAGCTCAACACCATCCGGAAGGCCCTTTCCTTGTTGAAGGGTGGAGGGTTGGCCCGGGCTGCATACCCTGCACAGGTGAGTGTGGGAGACTTCTCACTTGCCCATAGCTTCTGCTCTAAGGCAGTGTTAAAGAGACACCATGAGATTAAAAGTCATGGCCAAAACAGACCTCACTAGAAATGACCTGATGATTAGATCAGTGGTTCTCAACCAGGGGTGCGCAGAGGTCTTCCAAGGGGTACATCAACCCATCTAGATATTTGCCTAGCTGTACAACAGGCTACATAAAAAGCACTAGTGAAATCAGTACAAACTAAAATTTCATACAGACAATGACTTGTTTGTACTGCTCCATATACTATACACTGAAATCTAAGCACAATATTTATATTTCAATTAATTTATTTTATAATTATGTGATTAAAAATGAGAGAGTCTGCAATTTTTCAGTAATACTGGCTGTTACACTTTTATATTTTTATATCTGATTGTGTAAGCAAGTAGCTTTTAAGTGAGATGAAACTTGGGGGTATGCAACAAAAGTCAGACTTGTGAAAGGGGTACAGTGGTCTGGAAAGGTTGAGAACCACTGGTTCAGATGATTTCAGCTCCCAGTGAAGTCAGTGGGAATCAGCATCTGTGGTAATCACACTGCTTCTATTTAGCTACCTGAATATGCAGTTAGGAATCAACTATAGGGTTCAAAAATTTGGTCCATATTTACAAAAACAAATTTAAAAAAATCATTACTTACCTTTTTCAATAGCACATGAGATTGTTAACACAGTTTGTGTTGTGTTTTGTTTTTTCACTGTGCAATCTGGTCACTCTCAGCATTTCTTGTGGCTTAGGGAATGAAAATTGGCTGGTCAGTTTCCTTTTCATTTCTAGTCAGTTTCACTTTCTGGCTCTCTAGCACAATGCTGCAATGATGTTTGGGTTGAAAGCAGCACTGGGCAGTTTTCTTTGTTTTAAAAAAAAAACCCATTGTCACTTGGTAGCAGAACAATAGTGGAAATGCTTCTATTGAATTTAGGTTTCATTCATCTTTTCAAAACCTACATTTGGGGCCAAATTTGTCCCCTTTAAACTGTCCAATGAATGTGTGCACAGGTTCAAATGAGAGCACTGGCCATGTTAATGACTGCAGCCCCCAGTTACTGTGCACATGCAAAATGCTGACTCCCCACCACAATCTGAACAGACCAGCGTTGTGGTGTGAAGGAAATTCAGACTCCTTATTCGTTCAATAGTAGCCTTTCCCTCACTACTGCACTACCATTGTCTGATGGGGCCACTTGTCTGGAGTAAGTGGGCTGGAGCCTCAACTGAAGTAAATCAGCAAAGCATCCTTGATGTCCACAGAGCTGTGTGGATTTACGCTAGCAGAGGATCTGGCCTCGTATTTTACTTCTGGGCTTTCTCACTGTATTTATCGGTGGAGCTCCAATTCAATCTATACCAGGTTAGGAGCCTGAGAAGAGTCACATAAAAACATCCTACTCTTTCCTATATTATAGTCCAACATGAAATATCATTTTGATTCCATGAGTTAGAGCCCTGAGAGCTCTTATTGCATTATCTTAAAACAGAATGGGCCAAATTTGCCGTCATTTGCACCCATGCATCTCCATTGAGATCCACTGGATTGCAAAAGTGTAACTGAATGCAGAACTTGGTCTGATCACTCTTTCATGTCAGTGAGTCTCTGCTGCAGGCACTGCATTTATCTGTCATCCTTTCTGCTTCTAGGTGCTAAGCCTCATCCTCTCTGATGTCATTGGCAACCCAGTGGACATTATTGCGAGTGGCCCCACTGTCTACAGTTGCCCCAGTGCTCAAGACTGCTTTCAGATACTGACAAAATACAACCTGCTGAGCATCTTGCCCAGATCTGTGGAAACAGTGCTGTCCAGCTCCGTCTCATATCCCAGCGGTCCGAAAGACTATTCCCATGTCTACAATGTTGTCATTGGCTCAAACAGTTTAGCTTTAGAGGAGGCCAAATGCCAAGCAGAGGATTTGGGCTACTGGACCCTAATTCTGAGTGCAGCGGTGTGTGGGGAAGTCAGTAGAGTGGCCAAACTCTACAGCCAGCTGATTCAGTTTGTTTGCTTGAGCACAGCTGGACTTGCAGAAGGTCCTCTAAGAGACCAGGTGAGAGGAGATCTTCTAAAGCTGGCAGCAGAGCTAGAGATCCCAGGTTTGAACCTTGTGGATCCTTTGAAGGCTTTGCAAGGATTGGAGTCTGAAAGATCAGTTTGCCTGCTGGCTGGTGGAGAGACCACTGTCCAGCTTCAAGGAAATGGGAAGGGTGGGAGGAACCAGGAGTTGGCCTTACAGGTGGCATTGGAGTTACACCGAGCTAAGGCCACTGGGGCTGGCTACTTCCTTGGGAGATATGAAGTCCTGTTCCTCAGTTGTGGGACTGATGGGCAAGATGGGCCAACAGAGGCAGCTGGTGCCTTCTCTAGCCAGGAGCTGGTGGATAAGGCTGCTCAGGAAGGTCTCAATGTGGAGACCTTTCTGAGCAACAATGACTCCTACACATTCTTCAGTAAGTTCCAAAATGGACATCACCTTTTGCTGACTGGTTTAACAGGCACCAATGTCATGGACATCCAGGCTATTTTAATTAGGGCTAGAGACAGATAAGGAGAGCACCTCTACAAACTCCTCAGTTGTTTTTAATTAGAGGCATTGGTGAAAAATGAGGGTACCAATGTTCTGGACAAATCCAGACTGCTTAAATTAGGGACAGCTGGCAAGGGCACTAATATCATGGCTGTAAAAGCTACATTAGTGAGGCATATGGGTGGGTGACCGTGAGCATGTTCAATCTGTTAGTTAGGATCAGAGAAAGGTAAGATAGCACCAGCATTATCGGGATTGGGGCTGCATTAACACCTTCCAGCTGAAGAGCCACTAACATACTGCATTTTGGCTGTGGTTACAAAGAATTCAGGAATGCAGGGCTGATGACTGGCAGGCAAATAAGGCTGGGATTTATAAAGGTTTCTTAGGGAGTTTGAGTTCAAGTGGGGTTTTTGGACATCTGACACCCAGCCTGAATCTCTAGGTTGCCGTTGTAACTCTTATTCCATACAAAGCTAACAAGGTATATTAGATTAATCCATAGGACCCTAAATCCATTGCACTCCAAGTTCAGTGGAGATGAGCACATGGCATAGGTTGAACCTTTGATCTTGGATACATGGCGAAAACACACCGAGCTGTGGCATTAACATCATGTGAAGTGAAGAACGGTGTGAACCATGATTCAGATTCACTGGTGCAAAAACCATCGGAACACGAGAGCTTCTCCTCCACTATGTAACCTCCTCTGCCCTGGTGTGGTGACATTTCCGCCCCATGGTTGATGTTTCATGGGGTAGCGTGCTGTATTATGTGTGTGTATGCTACAAGCATTTGGGGTGCTACCACCAAACCGGTCAGAAAGCAATACAGCCTCCAGCCTGAGTCATTGACCTTTTTACTGGGTAAAGTCAGTAGTCCCTGTCATGCTGATTAACTCCTCTAACTCCATAGAACAAAAGGCCACAAAATCCGTAAATCCAACTCTCCTGACCCCTGTTGCTGCACTGATCAAAGGGCAAAGCAGCTGGGGCTATTGCTCTGTCAAACAGCAGGTCCCTCCAGCCTCTGGGACAATGCGGAGCACCAGCTACTTCAGCTTTGTCATCAATTAAACTCAGATCCTGTCTTGTCATATTCAGCTCATTCCCAGCGTGACACCTGGGGCCAGGTTTTCTAAGGAGCACAGTAATCAATATCTTCGTCTCTTATGAAGATCTGGCCGCTTATTGCGGTGCCTAAATGGGAGCTGAGCTCGCTTGAAATTCCAGCCCTGATTTAAAAGGCCACATTTGATGCAAACGGTTTGCAGACAGATGTAGCTGTGCTGTGTGGCTGATCTAACTTTGCAACGTTAAGTATACCATCCTATTAATACCGTAAACAGTGAAGTCATTGCACAGTCATGCTCAGCAAGATTCAAAGAGGGACTGGACATTTATAAGGATAACAAGAATATCCAAGAATAGTTAATGCTAATAACACTCTTGGAGGGGATATAAAACCTCATGCTTTTTGGGTTTAAGTCAATCCCTATGCAATAGAGATTAGAATTGGACCTACATGTTTACTGAGGGGTTTCTTGTATCTTCCTCTGAGGCATCTGGGCACTGGTAACTATCGGAGATAAATTCCTGGACTATATGGATCTTGAGTCTGATCCAGTCTGGCAGATCCTATGTTCTGATGTGTGATCTTGTGGTTAAGGCATAGATTTTGGAACTAGACAAGCTAGATCCTATCCCAGCTCTGCTAACACTCCCAGATATAAGCTTGGGCAAGTCACTAACATTCTGAGGCTCAAATTCTTCTATAACATGGGGGTGACCATCTTTACCTACATCCCAGGGGTTTTGTGAGGCTAAATTTGCAAGTGGTTGCAAAGTGCTGTGAAACCCTCTGCTGGAAGGTGCTAGAGACCTATGACATATGGTAATTTGGAGGCATGAATACAATGTCAGGGTGCAGACTGTGGAGGGAAGTTTGTTCTGGCTTGTGTGTGTGGTTTTTGAAGATTTCTCAGGGGAGTGGAGAATGCCATTTGAATTTCCCTGTGTGTGTGGTGCCTGCCATAGTGGGACCCTGATCTGATTGGGGTCCCTGTGCATGTCTGCGGTGCAAATAGCATGAATAAACCGAAAGGGAAAATGAATATGTTCAAAGAACTTGTTTATGGGTCAGGACGATTGGTTGGACAGCCATGTTAGTTACTTAGCACCTAATCCTGCTCTTTGTTCAACCAGTGTAAATCTGGAGTCACTCTGGAGTTGTTAGGTTAACTACCATGAGTGCAAAATTTAGTCCTTAACCATTTTGTTGCTGGCACTCTACTGCACCTGCTCTGCTGTTCTTGTCCATTATCATTTAATAGACATCAGTGGAAGGGAGGCTGTGCCTGGTAGATCTAGCAGCAGGGTAGGTGTGCTCCATCCGGATCTATCTGAAATGTTCAGCACTGCAGCCAGTGTATATGCGTTAGGGGCCCCAATTGCCTTTCTGCCTGAAGGTACCTGGTACATTCTGCAGTTGACCAGGTGATTTCTACCTGAAGGGCCTTGGAATGCTCAGCAGCCTGTGTGTTCAGTGCGGCTGTAGCTGGTACGTTTAGCAGCATACAGATGTATTATAGAGGAGATCTCAGAAACATATGGCATCACGCGAGTGGTCAGTGGCACAGAAAAATGTTTGAGGATTTATGCAAAACAAAAAGCGGGGAGGCAAACCTCAGAGCAGGAAGGAATAACATTAGAGGCCAGATCCTCATCTGGTGTAGATTGACACAGCTCCTCTGACATCAATGGAATGATTCTCATTTACACCAGCTGAGACTCTAGCCCCATATTCCATCCCTTGCACTCAGAGCCCTGGAAAAGCAATGCCTTTTTTTTTAACTCCAAGCATTGCTTGAGCCCTTGGAGATGCTGATCTGAAATCAGTCGCAGTCGAGTTCTGAAAACTTTGGCTGGCATTCACTCCTCAAGGGAAGTCCCTGAGCTGTTAATAAGACACTCACATCGGCCTGGCTTTTTTAAACAGGAGTGTTTCACTAATGATTAAAATGAGCTCATCTTGTGGAGGGGGAAGGCTGATAAAAGGTCTGATGAAAGCATGCAGCTGTTTGAAGCACATTTCACATCTTCATTCACGTGGCTTCCTTTCCCCTACAAGTTTTTTCGACTGTTCCCTTTTGTTTTAATGAGGAAAAAGTAGGACGGGGGGCATTGGTCAAGGACGGTGAGGTTATATTAACATTTTTACTCTTCAAGCAGTGTAGTCTAAGCTTCATCTCTGAGCTGACCTCAGTGAGGGGCTTGCATGTCCTCAGTTTAGGAAAGAAAGCTTCATCACCATGCTGCCCTGTAATGCCATGTGCTATTATCAGTATAGTGCACACACCTGGGTTCCAAACCTTGCTGCCATAGAGCTGGAAAGAGATGTGATTTCTTCCTCCTAACTGTGTTTAGCACAGAACTGCAGCTACCTGTGTTATAACTCAGATTATAAAAGCTGGAAGCGGAAGATGGAAAAAGCTCCCTATGGCTCTAAAGCCATTCACCAGCAGCAGAAGACTCCAACAATAGCTTGCTCTCCAGGCCAGATCCTGCTTTTACTCACACCAGCATGCATGTGGAGTCATTGGGCCGGATTCTCATTTTCATTAGGTCTGGGGCTACACCCACACTTTAAGGCCAGAACAGTGTAAAGAGGTCTTAGGGGATATGAGAATCTGTCTTGCTCTATTTAATTCGGTGGAGTTACTCTGCGTTTACACAAATATGGCTAAGAGCAGAATCTTTTCCTAACTGCAATTTGTGTAGCTATCGGGCCACCCCTGCTGTCCTGGGAGATAAATATTCCCCTGTGATGAAAAGCAGCATGGGAAAGGAGACTCAGGTTCCTGAGTTCTAATCCTGGCTCTACCAGTAACAAGATCAGAGGTAAGTTATTTAACCTCTTGCTGCCTCAGCTTCTGATTTGTACCAAGGGAATAGTACTGCCGTACCTCGCAGGTTTGTGTCTGAAGATTGTTTGGATCATGTCTTGAGCCACAAAGTGGTATGTAACTGCCAAGTACTGTTATTACCTTCACCACATTCAAGAGAGGTTGGAGGTATCTCAAAGGTGTGATGGATTGACCTTCAGAGCCTGGAAGGCATCATTGAATTTGTCTCCATGAACTCTGAGGGGAGGGGTTTTTATAGCTGGGCTTTGCCTATGTGATCCTGGAGTGATATTAGAGCCACTTCAATCTAGTCAGACAACTGCAAAGGCTGGAATCTGTTGTTTATTATTATTATTTATTTATTTATTATTACAGTAACACCCAGGGGTTTCGATCCCCCCCCCCAAACATAAAAAGACACGGTCCCTGCCCCAAGGAGCTTACAGTGTAAGACAAGTGACAGAATGGGGGAGAAGTTTACAATCAAATATATCAATCTATTTATATACACAGACACACATTATTATATATACATTCTATGCACTGAAAAGGTAACGGATACCAGCCACTTGCAATAGACTAAAGAGACTGTCCTCCCTGGGATCCTGGAAGAAGTGGGTCTTGAGGAGATAGATGAAGGTGGAGGAGTGAGGACAGTGACTTTATGGGACTCCAGGGAAACGTATACAGCATGTGTATGCAGAGCAGGCTCTGTGCAGCCAGGAACACTCCTAACCGTAAAGAAAGTCCTGAAGTGCAAGTGAGAAGGGAAGCAAAAAAGGGGTAGGAGTGGGTACGACTGCTGGGAAGATTTCAGTGACTGTACAGCCCCCTCCTGCCTGTAAGGAGGCCAAGGGTGAGAGGATTGGCAGATGCAGCAGCTGGCCACGTGCAGCAGCTGGCCACGTGCTTTCTGAGGGCCCAGCTCACTTCTGTAAATGGAACACTTGTGGCCAAACAGTGATAATGTTCAGGATAAGTAACCACATTATTAACGGGGGAAGCTTTTGGCAGTAAATTAAAAATCTTGGCTCCTGGCCTTGGCATTGCTCATGCCTCTTAGGAGACATTAATATCCCAGCTCCCCAGCACTCCCATTCTCACTTCATTAAAGAGCCAATAATGATACATATTGATGGTTTTATTCTGCGTGGAGGCTGCTTAATGGCTAATATTTCACAAGGTGTTAATGGGGGCCTTCCTTTATGAAGTGAGCGGAAGGGGTCTGCCTTTAATCTCTTTCACAAGCTGTGTAATTTTACCCATTTTTGCTACTGTGACAGATATTACGCAGACCTTTAAAGAGCCACAGAAGCCTCTTGAGAAACTTTGGAAAACACTGTTTAGAGGTAATCCTGCCCAGGCATCATAGTCTCGATCTCTTTCCCTTTGTTCTGGAGCCCTAGAAACATTTGATTAGCTGGAACTCTGTTTTTTAAGGCCCTGTCTACAATGCAGGTACAACTGTCTTTATGTAACCAGTAGAGTGCTTCTTCATTACTGAGTTAACTCAGGTGTTACCCATCACCTCCCTCTTCTGTCCACACATAAAACCCTCTCCCCTGAGGGTAGTGGTGCTTTCAACCCAGGCTAATTGGCCTGGCTGGGGATGTGAGTTAGAGCCCAGGTTCTGCTTTTACTCCAGCTGGCAATCTGCCTCTGTGCAGTGAGAATGCACACTAGATCAGTTCTCCAGTGCCTCCCACAATTCCCTCCATATGCTCACAGGGGCAGTGGAGTTCTCCCACCATTCACTGGGAAAGAGTTCTCCACCGACTCGGTTTATTGCAGCACAAAGGACCATGGGAGGTGCTCCCAGAAGTCCTAGTGGTGCACACGGAGGAGCACAGTTGGAGTAATGGGTAGGGCTTTGCAGTGTGGTTGCTCGCACCCAAGTGTCAATCATCCAGACTAGTGCCCTTTAACAGACCATCCCTGGCCCAGAGAGCTTCCAGTCTAAATAGACGAGGCGGAAGGGAAAAAATGGCATGCAGGGTGAAGTGAGTTGCCCAAACTCACAGAGTAGGTCTGTGGCAGAGCCTGCAGTACAAGTCAGGGAGTGCCCAGTTCCACTGGCCCCTGCTGGGACAGTCTTGTCTGAGCTGGTCAGAGTCACTCCAGCCGTGTTTTTCACAACCCTCCCATGTGCGCCGACACCTACCAGGCTGGCCAAGGTTCTAATCTGCCTCCATTGAAATCAATGGGAGTTTTGCCATTGACTTCACTGGGAGCAGGATCCAGTGTTTGTGTCAGTGTACTCCAGTCACCACCCTCCCCTAACCCCCTGGTGGTGGTAGCCTTTGGGTGTGGCCACTACTCTGTTCATTTCTCAGGTGCATTCCCCAGTGGGTGGGTTGGCTCGCAGCATCTACCCGAGTCAGGGACTCTGCGGGGCTGGCAGAAGCCAGGTGTGGGGATACCATCCAAAGCAGGGCTGAGGTTAAACAGGCCCTGCTTTTTCCGGATGGGGACGACTGCACTGCACTGCACTCAGAGGGGTGTGACTGCAGCATGCGTAGATGTACCCGAGCTCCCTAGATCAGCGCCAGTTCAAGTAACAGGGAAGCCGCTGCAACATGGATGGTACAAGCCCACCGGAGACCCTGGGGACGAACTCGAGCGGCCAGCCTGTGCTGACACCCCCGCTGCTGGGGTGTCGCTGCTAGTGTTACTCAAGCTAGCGTTGCTCTAGCCAGCTCAGCTATGTTTGCACATGCTGCAGTCACCCCCTCACCCTCCTGATTGCCATGTGGACATACCTAGGATGCCCACCCTGGCATGGTGGCAGCATCTCCTGGCTGAGCACAGACAGTTACTGATACTCCAGGACTCTCCTACAGGGGCTACTCCAGGCCCCTGAGCACTGGGGGCAGTGACCCAGTGCACCAGCAGCTCATTTTGGCGATAGTGGCCCTTTAAAAGCGAGGTCCGCAGGAACTGGTGATGTTCTCCGGTGGCCAGCCCCAGCGTATTGCACGGCTTCAATCCCTATATGAAATGAGCAGTATAATCACATAGGAATAAAAAGCCATAAAAGACAGTGGGACACAGGACACGTCTCCTCTGCTGGCAGCAGACAGGCCTCTGAGTGGCATGCCATCAGGTATGTCCTCCTATCCCCTCCTCCTTCCCTCTCTCTTCCTTGGGGAGGCTGCTGCTCTGATGCCTTCTCACAGCGCATCTGGCTGCAGAACTGACCCTGGGGCAGG